ATAGATCATAATATAGCAAAGTGTTTAACTTTGGCTGAATTATGAGATTGATATATTTTGTTGAATCTAAGAACTAATTTGATATATTTTCTTACTCCAGCGATGATAAAGTATATAAAGTGAGACATGGTGACAACATGGTCTTTTTTTTGCTGAAGCAAAAATTTCAATATTACATAGGTATATTTCCAATGTAGTATAGATAAAGTCTTTGTTGTTGTTGTTGTTGTTGTTGTTATCCCAATATTACTTGGGTGTTATACCCCTAAAAAATATTATTGTTAATCTCCATTGCACAGTAAACATGTGTTCTGCAGTTTATACAGCTAAGTCAAAACCAAAATAATCTCTGCCTCAGTTCGACTAACTATTCAGCCGACATCTCGTGTAACTGAGGCAAAAGGCGGTCCTACTCGACCAACCCTTCAATTAATTCCCTAAGCAATTTGACTCAACCAACTGTTTGGCCGACATCCCGTGTAACCGAGATAAAAGGCGGTACTTGTCGTCCAACCCGGCCAATCACATTTACAAATAACCCCACTCGGCCCAAGCCATTAACATGTATAGTTGACTATCAACTAGACGACTAAGAGAGTGGTAGTTTTCTCGAACCCCGCGCCGACAGTCTCCTGACCTTGCATTAATTGCCCTGACAAAATCATTATTGCCCCAGTCAACAAAGTCGTTAAGACTTATCATGCCCGTCAGCACCAAACAGCTGCTGTCGCTTATCATGAAACACCTGGGCAACCCCTCTTTCATAGCAGCCGATACCCGTCAGCTGTCTGCCAACTCAGTTGCCTAGTTGGACTCGGCTCAAGTTATCTTCTTGCCTCTCATAACCACTATAAAAAAGAGGTGCACTGCATGAGATAAAGAGCTTTGATTTTTTTTCTCTTACAAAAACTATAAATTGACTTAATACTCCTCCACTCAAAATTAATCACTAACTTAATCGTCGGAGAAACCACCGGAGAACCCAACTCCAGCCTCTTACGAGTTCTTTCTTGTGTAGAGAAGAATAATGTCTCCTAGAAGGCTAGAACCATTCATTAGAAGAAGAGAAAAGACCCTACTCAATCCAAGAACTTTAAGATAATTACCTGTTTGATAACTTACATCAACACTTGGGTATATTACAAAAGATCATCTTCATCTACTGTACATATTTTTTGAAGAATCCCGCTCACTTTAGAAAGAGGACCAATCCAATTTCAATACCAAATCTCCTTATTCTATACTATATGCTTAAGAAGAGTCCCCTTTTTATTTGCTCTTTCCGTGTAAGTCACATTGTTGTAGAAATTTTGGCAATGTCCTCTCACTTTTGAAAATTTGAAGAAAAGGTCCTCACACTCGCAAAACTCAACGAAATGAGCTCACGTTTAGAAAAATAAATGCAAATGTCCTCACTCCCCGAAATCAATAAAATTGTACTTACATCTCCTACCTCAAGTTTGTATTGTGTCATGCACATATCAAGTACGTCAGAAGGTTGGTGATAACTAATCAAATAAGTAGTTTAAGGATGGAGGTTGGTTACTATGAACTTAGAGTGTACATGTTTTTCTAAATATTTAGGTCAAGTGCGGGCATCAATACAGACGTTTGAAGAACAAAACCCCATCATAGAATTAACGGGGTCATCAACAATCTTAGTCTCGTGGATGAGGGACATAATTTGTTAGTTTCTGGATGAGAGGGTTTCTTCAAAAGTAGGATACATATGAAGGGGTTTTCTGATAATCTACCTATAAATAAGGGCAGAAATACCAGATTGTTATATTTTTATTGATCCTTTTTCATACTTTTTTTAACTCCGGAGAAAAATTTGAAACGAGTCCCTCAAATCTTCACTATTTTGATATTAGTCCCCCAAATCATTAAAATTTTAAAGTAGTTTACATATTTAACTTAATTACAAACCCAAACTCATTCCAAACTCCCATATCCTCTATTTCATTCTCTTACAAATCCTTTACCCATTTAACTCAATTATAAATTCAAATTCATTTCTGCCCTCATCATCTCTATTTCAACCCCTTACAAACCCCATATCTATTTAACTCAATTATATACCCAAACCTATTTCAGTCTCTATCTTCTTCACTTCAAAACTCTCATCTTCTCCTTCTCCATTTCAAACTTTTTTGAAACGGAGAAGATGAGAGTTTGAAATGAGTTTGAGTATGTAATTGAGCTAAATGGGTAAGAAGGTATGTAAGGGGTTAACATGGAGAAGATGAGTGTTTGAAATGAGCTTGGATTTATAATTGAGTTAAATGGCTACGGTGTTTGTAAAGGGATGACACGCATGGAGAAAATGAGAATTTGAAATATATTTCGGTTTCTAATTCAGTTAAATTTGTGTTAAAATTTTTTTTTTTTTTTTTGGGGGGGGGGGGGAAAT